TAAGATTCCTTGTTTGCCGTGTTTTGTTTAGGATTTATCCCGTAAGGCCGTAAGTATGATAGATTTTTGATTTTTTTAGTCGAATGTTTTGGATAGTTCTGTGTAGGGCTGTGCATTAACCGGGTCGGACCGTATTTTAGACCGGAACCGGATCGAAATGAACCGGACCGGACCGGACCGGACCGGTAAAATATATACTTCGTTCTGTATCATTAGTCATTATGTTTATGACTTACTTTCGTCTTTTATTATATAAACGAATATATACGGAGTGTATATATGGGGTCTTATTATTTCCTAAGTTGTTTTTGATTTGTTTATTTATGTGCAAGTGTTCACTACTATGATCATAATTTATATTTGTTTGATTTTTCCAAATTTATTTTTATTTGTTTCTTTATTTGCAGGTGTGCATGTAGTTTATATGTAGTATATTTTTGGACGTAATTTAGTTTGTATTACTCTAGAATACATTTTTCCATTTTAATATACACAAAAGATTGTAGTTTTAATTACTGCGGGAAACTAATTGTTAAGATTGAATATTTTTAATCACTATATTTCAAAATTAATAAATGAGCTAAACAATTATTTAGCTTATTTAGCACATCCACACATAAAATTATAGTTTGAAACAACAACAACATCCAAGCCTTATTCCTAAAAAAAATTGGGTCGGTTAAGATCCCTCTAAGAGAATATGTCTTTTTCTAAAACCGGGTCAAAACCGGACTGGATCGGAAAATTCAGGTCTGGACCGGTCCGGACCGATTAGATTCAGGTCCGGTCTTCGGTCCATAAAAAATGATGATTCCGGTTCCAGTCCTAACCGATTCCGGTCCGGTCTGGTCCAGTATTGGACCGGTGCACAACTCTAGTTCTGTGTGGCTTGATGAATGCATAAATGCTAAGCAAAGTTTGTTTTGCTTCTAAGATAGATAGGGGCTAGCAAGAGTACATTACTTTGCCATTTATATATTTACCTTCTATCCAAAAAAACAAATGGAAAATGTATACTCAATCTGGTTGGATTAGCCAGCAACCTAGCATAAAACTGCGTATAGTATAGAACAAAATAATTGAAGGGCGGCCCTAAGTAGGTCTAATTGGGAATCTAATGTTCAGTCGGTGGGCGACAACCACCAGTTATCTAATGGCTTCTGCGTCCATGCGGTAGGTGAGATATATATGAACAAAAAACATTTATATATTATACTCCCTCTGTCCCTTAAAACTTTGTCATCTTTCCTTTTTGGAACGTCCCAAAAAACTTTGCCACTTTCCCTTTTAATCAATTATTTTGTGGTTTCTGTTATTTCTCTCTCTTCTGCACAAACCTCAACCACACAGTTTTTACTTTATTATTCTCCGTGTCGGTCAACTTTGGCAAAGTTTTAAGGGACGGAGGTAGTATAATTTATAAACAGCTAGCAACTTTACAATTAAGGTTCTTAAACTATGATTAGGAACTAAGTTTAATAAATATACTATGTTATCTTTCATTTTTAAGGAAAAGGCAGCACTTTTCTCGATCGATCAGATTCCCCCATCCAACTTGCATTTGTTTGTTGCTTTTCTTAGTGAGTGACATGTTATCGCAAATCTTTTGTGGCAGATTACATTATAATATAATCTGTCAACTCCTCGTCAGTACAATGAACCTTAATTATAATTGACGTTGGAGATTCTTTGTTGCCACGTGTATTTCTTTAAAAAAATATAATTTTTTGTCATTAAAATTACAGAAATTGGTGAAAATTTATACAATACAGAGTGTTTTAAATTGTCTAGATGGAAAGAAATGGAGTAGAAACTAAAGAAACATGATTGGTGGAAAAGTAAAACTACTATTAATGTGACAAGAAAATGTAAATTTAAAAGGTAGGTTACTTAAGGAACTTAATATTCTCCCTGTCTTGTTAAAATCGTCAAACTTTCATTTTGTTTAATTTGAATAAGATTATCTCATATCAAATTTAGTAAAATTTGTTTTTCATTTCATTTCGAATCACATCAACTTATTTTTCATGTGACCGCGCCTTCCCCTTAGGTCAGAGGTAGTATCATTTTAAGATACTCCCTTTTTTCCACCTTTTCCCAAAAAAGAAGCTATGAAGTAGGTTATACTTTAAATATTTTTGCTTACTAATAAAATATATTCACTAGATAAAATATAGGGAGTAATAATAGTCAATATGGTTAGTGATGTTTTTACTTGAATTGAAATTTGTTGGTCTGGTTTGGTCTGCTAAATGTTTGGTCTCTGAGTATTTTGTAAATATCCAAGTCTGGTCAGATCTGGTCTGGGCTGAATTGGTCTGATCTGATACGTTCGAAGATTGAAAATAGTTCAAGTAAAAACATCCTACTACATTGTCACATACGCGGTAGTCTAATATTGAAATAAAAAAATTATTTAATACTTTTATTTTCGTTATTAATTCCTTTTTTTGGGCAAATCTTTCTAACCTATTATAGTATCTGTTTTGTTAAGGCCAACATCCTTGAACTGAGATGTGATTCAAATATGTGACCGCCTCTTTAGAAGTGTCACACTGATGCCATCAGGCCACATGATATTTTGCATTATTATTTCTATCTTAAAAGCTCTACCCTTAATTTGGTGGAAAACTGAAATGAACTATTATTATTATAATACTCTCTCCGTTTCTTAAAACTTTGTCAACTTTTCTTTTTTGAATGTCCCATTAACTTTGTCATTTTCCCTTTTATGTAAGAAATTTGTGATTTCAGTTAACTTTCTCTTCTCCGCACAAAGTTTAACCACACAGTTTTTACTTTATTAATACTCGTGACGATCGACGAAATTTTAAGAGAAAGACGGAGTAGGTAGATTATCTATCCCTTTCCTTTCCCTTTTATCTTTTGTGTAGATTTAATACTCCGTACCATTCATCTCCAGTTTTGACATGTGAGATTCTTAGGTAGATTTATCTGGTGTGTGGGTTCCACCCATTTTTGTTTTGTTCCTCTACTATCACTTCTTATCCAAATGCCCAAAAAACTCCGTACATATTTATTTTTCACATCCTTTTCCCCCATTTACTTCCGTCCACAACCCATCAAAACCATGTGGTACGAATAAAAAGAAAGCATTTTAGTTAGTCCAAGATTAAATTTTAGTACATAAAGCTTTCTCTGTATAAATTGGTTTTCTTTCTCGTAATTTTACATGTTAAATGAATCTTCTCATAAAAGAAATTTCTTTTGGAATTTTGTTATCATAAAATGATTTTCAATATTCTGTTTTCAGACTTTTCTTATGTGGTCTTTTTATTTCTTTTTATAGGCCATCTCGATTCGTATTTAATATACCAAGATGTCGAAACTAAACCTTTCTTTTCAATATTGTAGAGCATGTGAATATTGTAAAATTCAACATATTGCTATTAAAACGTAAGGAAGGATAATATACCTATAGGTTTTTTAGTTTTGTTTTTTTCATCAAAATGACTCGTCCAAAGTTTGTTTCTTAAAGTGACCGTGAAAAATACACGTTATCTCAATAAAATCTGAAATACCCCCCATTGAGTATTGCAAAAAAAAAAAAAAAAAAAAAGAAAAATTGACAAGAATAATTTCATGTTTAGCCAATCTTCAGAGCGGGTGATAAGACCAGTTAGGCAAGACATTTGTCTGGGACCTCAAGTTTTATGGGGCCTCAAAAAATACTCTGTATTTATTATTAATTATTGGTATATGAAAATGGATTGCAAGATTGCTCCCACTCCTTATAATTGGCAAATGGTTATAAATGGTGGCTTCTAGGTTACACTCTGTATTAATCTGTATGGGTAATGACCCATTTATATACTTCAGCTACTCTGTGTTTTTAGTTTACTTTTTGACTTTTTGGGATTAATTAACTTTGTAATTGTAAAATTTTAATTTATATGCACTTTTTGTTAATAAGAAATGTTATTTTATATATCTCATTATTAATATGTTTTGCATTCTTTTTACGTGTTTAGTTAGGATCTTATTTTTGCATTTTACTAATCACATTTTCTTATATTTGTTTGGGTTTTCACTAATTTTAGTTTTTTATGTTGACATACATATTTGTTTGTGAATTTTCATAATATACTTCAGCTACTCTGTGTTTTTAGTTTACTTTTTCTTTATTTTATTAATACAATATGTTTTTATTTTTTCATAATTCAGCGGAAAAAATCAATCTAGTCACTTTAGTCATAACTTCATAAATTTAAATAGAATCTATGCAGCCAATAAATGTTATCAAACGGCACATTGTTATATGATGAGTAAATAAAAATTTCACTAGGTCCTTTTCCACTCTATCAAACGTACTCATGATATTTGTAAAATTACGTCTTTTCCGTCTAGGCCTCTAAATTGCTAAAGACGGCCTGCCAATCTTCTCATAATAATCCCAAAATAGGAACTGTTCACACCTAAAAATAACTACTTACTACTCCGTACTTTATTATAGTATTATTTTAAATATTGAATAATATGAAGGAGGTGTTCTCAATTAGGTTTCCATACGTTTCTATTTCCTCTGTTTCAGGTTGACCAAAATTGACTTTCACATGAATTAATAAAGTAAAAACTATGTGGTTGAAATTTGTACAAGGGAGAGAATTAATTTTAATCACAGATTCCTTACTTTAAATGGAAATAACAAATCTTTTTGGGATATCCAAAAAAGGAAATTTGACCAACCTTTAGGGACGGAGGAGTAATAAATTGTTAGAATTCTGGTACCCGCACGGGTAACTCATTGGTCGAGTGGTAGGAAAATTGGACCAAGTGACTAAGATTCGAAACCAGCAACACCCGTGTGAAGGTAACAGAACCTGAAATAAGACTATACCTCTGGAACACACGTGTATAAAGCCTATCGTCCTTTTGCACTAAGTCACCTAACCTCCCCACCATCTTGTCCCCTCGGAGTGAGGGCCTTGGTTGGGCATTAACCTTTAGGACCAAATTGTTAGAATTCTGGTATCCTCAATCTCGAATGTGATGGAATGTGGCAAAATCCTCAAAATGCAAAGGGGGTTTCACTGGATTTGCTGTAGAGCAGCAAAGCAAAGCAACAAGCAACGGAGGAGGTCTACATCACCACCACCGGGTCGAATATTTGTGTCGAATTTTATTGTCGCTGCTGGGTCGTTTCCTTCTTCGACTGCGCAGCTCCACTGACCTGGCGAGAAGCTCCCTCTCCTAACCAAATGGCGGTTTATTGACTGGAAGAAGGTTCTCCGATGTTCACTGTTCGTGGTCGGAGGGTTTCTCAGGTGTTATCCTTCCGACTTTGGAATTGATCTAGAAGAAGGTTCTCTGTTTTTGTTGGTGGTGTGGATTTGATCGAGACTGATTCTATGCGGCGATGGGTGCGGGCTTAACGAGTTTCCGGCTGGTGTTCTTAACTCCTTCTCCGGCCGGGTGGACTGGTTTCGATGGGTTACTGTTGCCGCGTTCGAACGTAGGCGTTTGGTTCTGGAGACTTTGGGCTGCTGTTCATAAGGAGGGTTTGCAAAATCACTCAAAATCTGAGCAGGAAAGAGGATTCCAATTCCATGAAATTGCAGAACAATATCACAGATTTTATAGAATTCCATTCAATTCCATTAAAATCTCAATCATACAGAGTATATTCTTGTTTGTGCATGGTTTTACTCATTTTTGCTGTGCCTGTGCTAAATTTTGTCAGCTTCTCTCTGCTCATTTTAATAATTCATACAACTAGTAAAAACCTAACAAGGATTAATCCAATAAAGATCCATAGTTTTCAAGAATCAAATATATAACCTCAAATCTGAAAATCCAAATACAATAAAATAGTTGAGCCAATGAATTGGAAATGATTTTAACTCTTAATTATTTCACAATTCATTACTTCTAAATAAATCAATGGAAATGTGGAAAGATGGTCATAATTACAATAAGTAAAAACAGTTTAGCTTGCACTTTGGAGAAAAGAAAAAAAATACTCCAAGAACTGGAACAGAACTATGTTCTTGGCTATATATGATAGCTAATCTCCAGAGATTAAGACAAGAATGAGATTGATGTAAATTAAACACCAATCCTTTGAAAAAAACAGAGATTCCTTCATCTTCTCTGCTTCAGCATGAACTCAAATCTAAGGCCGCCATGGAACAATTATAAAAACCAATAACTTTCATACAATTAGCCTTAACATATATCATCCTCATCAAGATTTCAAGAAGTCATATTGAGACTCAAAGCCTGGAAATGCCAGGGTTGGTTGTTAATTCTAAACTGCAGATCTTCAACTCCGTTTTGACCATTCTGCCCCCCGCCGAGAAAGCTCTGGTTCATGGCTGCTGGCAGTTCAATCCCCCATTTAAAGTCCTCCGGCGAAGAAGAAGACGATGAAGAAGATAAGCTTCGCTGGGATTTGTTCTTCCTGCAACGGCTGTAACGTGACGGGCCTAGGGTTAGCTCCAGCTCGCTCTCGTCTTCTTCAAGATTACTCTCTCTGGGAATTCTTGTATTATTGTATTCCCGTTTCTGCTTTGAGATGTTCTTCATCAATTTCTTCTGAGTTTGGTAGAGACGGTGAAGCTCATAAACCTGCACAATGATATAATATTATGGGTGTTTGGATGTGTTTAAATTTTAAAACTGGTTTTGGTCTTTTGGATGCAGAAGATATTGCAGTAGGGTAAAGCATAGAAGCATTTCTAAAAGCTCTAAATTGCCTTTAGAAGCATAAGCTCTGAATTGCATTTAGAAGCAGTTTTTGAAGGTCAGACCAGAACCGTTTGGGAAAATCCCATTCTAATTCAACTTCCGTTTTAAATACAGCAGAATCAGAATAAATTCCAAACATAATTTATTACTTCATAATTAACTTGTTAAGTCATCTCAACTCGATACTACTCTGTTAACTTTCTTTAGAATGAAATTATAAATCAATAAAATATAAACTAGGGATACATCCAACTAAGATCAAGAATGTTTACATCAACAAGCCAACATCTTGAAACAAATTAACTTATCTTACATTGTCCATGTATTACATCAAAGAACGACACGGATACACGTATCTTGTACACACCTCCTATTTCACTTGTGTAATTACACATTCTGTTTAAAGAATGTAAAAATTTGAATATTGTTTGTGTATACAGACAACTCAGGCATGTATACTCGCTCGTCATGTACATGAAGAACGGGTTACATAGAAACTAGTACGAAGTATATAGTATGTACCTGTTCTTTGAAGGTTTCTTCATGCTTTAACATGGAGGTTTTCATGTATTCCATGTCGTATTGATTGAGAATCCTTTTCTCCATTATATGCAGCTTAGGACCTGTCACCATATATGTATATATAGATGCAATTATGAAGCCAAAGTCCAGGGGCCGGCAGGGAACAGATTTATGAGTTGTTGATGGATAAAATCCTCTCTCTTAAATAATGAGTCTGAAATTTAAAAAGGAAGACATACGGAGTATAATACGGAGTTAGTACATCAATAGTGGATACGTGATGAAGAAGTGAAGCTTCCAATGACTTACCCAAGCCTGTGGTGCTGTACTAAGGGACAAAACTAAAGAAGAAGTGATGAAACAGTCTTCTTTGGGCATTGGTACTATGTTTTATTCCAAACATTTTTTATTCTTTTTAACTAATAATGGTAGGGCCCACTATGAAAATTAATGCTAATCACCAATTCAATAATGGTGATCAATCCACAGTCTTTTTACATATGCTGCCATCAAGGCATCAATCAGAATTAGTTGGCAATTTGGAAATATAGAAATTGTACTTTCATTCCTAGTTTGTTATTTGCAGTGTTCACTTTCAAAATAGAATTTTTATTCTTGGAACAGTTGATATGTAATCTAGTGATTCAATGGAAATTAGTTTCCATGCTCATGATCATTTAGGATTTTTCTACGAAAACAAGTTCTTACAAGATAATCTGTACTAAGATTTAGAGGGTGAAAGATCTTGTCGATCAAGAGCTATGAGTGTGTGGCTATCAAGTGTAGATGTTTTATACTTTTCTGCTATTGTGATGAATTCAACATGGGTTCAGGCAACTGCTCTCAAACCACCAAAAAACTTATTGCTTTTGTAGGACCGTTGTAGTTGTTATTGTATAAAGAATTAATGACAAAATTTCAAGAGTTTGCGGATGATAAAAGTTAGGCATTTTCAATGTAGATTTTTAAAAGACTAAAAAGTTTAGGCATACTCCATGTAGATTTTTAAAAGTCTAAAAAAGTCTAGGCGTATTAAAACTTTCATTCATTCTTATGAACTTTTAAAATCGTGGATCGACGGAAATTTATAACTCATTTTTTATTCTCCTGACCAAAGTCTCCTGTCAAACTTTCCTTCCATCTTATACTAGTCACAGGTACGCATAAATCTAGTTCCAAAATCAGATCAGAATTGGCTGTTTATTTACTCGGGATCAAGAATTGGCCAACCGGTTCGAGATTAGTACCGGATCCGGAGGTGAACCATGATGGTCTCGATATGCAAGGTTTACAAATAAAAATATGATTTTTTTTATCATTTTATGATAAATAAAACTTAACAAGGAGATTCTGCATCAATACTGATACACAATCTAAACTTAAATAAAAATTACGGTGACTTTTACATAATTGATCGGACTAAACTTGCAAGTGTATAAGTGCCGATATAGTAATAAATTCCGGTAAAATATCGGGTCGAATCCACAGTGAAACGTTGTTCAATTTAAGTTCGAGAGTTGAAAACTTTAAACATAGAAATAAGTAAAGTGCAGGGATTTTGATTTAGATTTGGTATGAGAACAATGTATTTAGTTCTCAATGTATTTAGTTCTCACTCTGATTCCAGGAATATAACTTCAAATATATTAAATTTAAAACAATTGATAACAACAACTAAGGTTTAGAGAATCGCCTAAACACTTTTAACTAGTATTGATTCAAGTTCTTTGCCAACAATTATGAATACGATATCGCTAATATATTTCCAACTCCGGTTAAGGCAGCGGGAGCGTGATTTTCGTAACGTGTAAGTCCCATTACGGTTTAAATTCATCTATTGAAAATCCCGTTGAATACCGACACATCACACATGTATCATATAAGGCCGGATATATTTCTATATTCGGTTCTATATATGCTGATGGATAGTGTACCCGGGGGTAGTTTATCCGAGGGGTTACTGCGGAGAGTAACTTAGAGAGAAGTCAGAGCAAATTAGTAAGAGAGATAAAGGGTTCAAGTGTGTATTCGAATTGTATTGAGCGTGGTTTACAAATGGGGAAAGGGGTGCTATTTATAGCAGCAATAAATGCTAGATAGGGATTCGTGTCAACAATTTGGTGGTCGAGGGGTCACCTCAATCGGGGTGGCACTGGCATTCGCATGTGGCCGCATTAAATGCGGTGGTTGGATGTGACGTTTGTACTTGGTACGTTGATCCAGCGCATGTGGATGGGAGATCCTGTCGAGGAGGATGCCTTTGGCTGTGGATGATAGCCCGAAGGCTCTGTGTACCGGAGGCCTCATATTTCCGGGGCCTCCAATTGCTGAAGGCTTCGTTTTTAAGCCTTGTGCTCCTGCGATGTTTCTGAGCCCTAATCTGTCACTGGTGGCCTTCGGCCATGGGCTGCTTAGAGCTCCATTTTGCTGGGCTTGGCCCGCTTGGGCCTGTTGGGCCTGATTGTAATAGTAGGAGTATGTGGGCTGGGGGTCCATGGGCCATATACTCCATCAGGAGTCCTTCACTCCTTTTTCCGAAAGGTACTTGAGGGAAAAGGAGTAATTGCGTATGTCCTCTGATGCTGCCTTGCTGTAGTTTGTAAAAGTGGTGAGGAGTTTTTGCGCTTGCGTGTTTGCCGAGGCAATCCCTCAGTCCCCCACATTTTGGGGCCGAAGGAAAAATTTTGTATTTCTTGTGAATTTCCCGAAGGGGTCCTCCAATCCCCCACTCCTTGAGGCACATGTAATGTGGTGAAGAGGAGTAGAGGGGTGTCTACTTTCATCATGGGGCCGAAGGCTTGTGCTTTTCGTTTCATTTTGGGGGGATGCCTCGTTAAAAACCTCATTAGGAAAAACCCTTTGGGAAAAAACCCTAATGAGGAAAAAAAAGTGCACTGAATTCCCCCATTGATGAATCAAAAACGTGAGCTCTTGATTTGAGGTGAAGAGCAATGTTGCCGCCGAGAGCTATTCGTGATCTGAGGGTTCAATCGTTGATTTTCCCGAAGGCTCTTCGTTGGTATCTTGGTGATGCCGAAGGCTGATTGTTGATATCCCGGAAGTGTTGATGGGAGTGTCTGCGGGGAGCACTCCTCCGAAAGCGTCCGTAGTTGATAAGCATGGGTGAGCATCCCGGGGACTGCCGAGGGTAGTCCCCCGATCAATGAGGCTGAGGGCGTGATCGCTGTTGATGAATGCCGGTGATTGTCCCAGTGGGTCGAGGGGCCCCTTGGTGTTTTAGCCGGGGGCGCCTCTTGATGAAGGAGTCTCAAGGAGGAAGCCCGAAGGCGTGAATGGTGTTGTCTGAGGGGTGCCAGGTGAGGGAACTTAGTCCGTGAAAGAGAGCCGTGACAGCTGGAATATGACCGTTGGGATATAGCCGTTAGAGGTGATGTCCACATGGCGTGTACCCGTTGGCTGACTGCGGGCGGGTGTCACCGGTTGGCGGAGGAGGCGGTGTGTAATGATGACTTTGGTGACCGGGGGCCCGGTTTTCGGCCCAAGCCCGGATTCGGGGAGCCTATAAATACCCCTAGCCAGCGCCATTTCCCCTTACGCATTTCAGTAGTAGCGAAGCTCTAGCAAAAAAATTCTAGAGATAAACCGCACTTCGATCAAAACCAAGTTTCCGAGGTCAGTTCTTGCTCCATTCTCTGCTTCCTTAGTGTTCTTTGCTTTCCGGCCATAGATTAAGTGTTAGAGCCTTAAAACCCTTAGGCCTTCCATTACCCGTTACTCTTCGGTCCATTCTGTAAAAAGAAAAGATGTCGTCGGCCAGTGATTCACAAAACCTGTCCCAAGAGCCTTCGGGTCAGGCTGAAAGCTATTCGAATGTTGAGTCCTCGTCCGATCGCCCTTCTGCGAGTGATCACGCTGCTGTGGCCATGGAGGTGCAGAGGGACCTCGTTGCCGAAGCCGAGGCCGAAGAATTTGAGCAGGTGAATGAGGACGAGGAGCTGGCCCTCGCCATTCAAACTGCGGAAGAGGAGGAGGAGAAAGAGAGGCGGAAGGTCATCATCGCCATCCTCCCTTCACGCAATGTCGGAGAAGCCAGCACTTCTCGGGCTTTAGACCCGACGCCAATTAGCGTAGCTCCCGGGAAAAGGAGGAAAGCAAAGGCTGCCCCAAAGAAGAAACAAGCAGCCGTGGACGCCGGCCAGCCGGTAGGCATCCCCAAGGGTCATTCCTTCTTGAACACCGCTGCCCTTGAATTGAAGACGAGGGCATCCCCGGCCGAATTCCAGGCCACACAAATTCTTGCTGGCCCTTCAGCACGTGTGGTGGAACCAGGGCCCGATGATCTGTTACGATATGCGCCCGAGGGCTGCTTCGCCGTTCACACTTTGTCAGTGGAGATGGGGCTCCGCTTTCCGCTCCACCCTTTCTTGATGGAGTACCTGAGGTTCGTGGGGCTGGCCCCCTGTTAGCTAACGCCCAATAGCCATTCTTATGTGGCCGGCTATCTCTCTCTGTGCCGGAGCCGAGAGGTCCCACCTACCCTCGACAAATTTTTCCTGTCCTTCAACTTATGCCTGGGGGGGGGGCATTCGAACGCAGAGGGCTTTACCAACTTGCAGCAACTCTCGGAGTTTAGGCTGTTTGACGACGTCCCTTCGTCCCACATGGGATGAAAGGACAAGTTTTGCTATGTCCGCTTAGAGGAGACCCCCTTTCCGGCCCCGCTTCGCAACAGCTTTCGGAGGCATCCGAAGGTAGGGAATGCAGCCCTCGAGAAGAATGGCAAGATCCTCACCAAGAAGCCGGAGGGGTCCGACAAGCATGTGAAGATCAAAGACGCCACCCTTCTGGATGAAGTGTTCAAGCTTGGCTTCCGGCAGTATCGGCCGAGGGGTTCGGAGGATGAAAGATACCCTCCGATAGATCGTGTGTTCGAGAGCGTCAGAGGTGATTACCGACGGGTTATTTGTTTTGTACTTAGGAAATCTTTCTCCTCTTTTTATTTATGTGCAGTCCATGTCCCCGCAGTTGATTCCCTTCGGCCTAATCATTTTGTGTCTTGTCTTTGCAGGTAACAATATGGATGTGAGCTCTCTTTTCGCCCTGAAGAAGACGAAGGGGAAGAAGTAGGATCATGTGGGTCCGAAGCCGGTGGGTGCTTCCGCCAGGGAGGAGCCCTCCCAAGCTGCTACTGGTGGAACCGGGGGCTCTAAGGCTGATGAGGCCATAAAAAAGAAAAGGACCGAGAAGGAGACCGCGCCCCCGTCGTGGTCGTCGAGGATGAGGGGCATGCCTCCGGCCCCATTCCTCAGAAGCACTCCCACCAGGACTTCTTCGGCCGGGAGAAGCTAGAGGCAATTGTGCCGAAGGGGGCCTCGATCTTGGAGGGTAACCTGGTGCGTTCGGCACTAATGAGCCAAATGATGCCATCGGCTGACAGGCTGGCTCTCGCCCGGATGAATGATGAGAGCCTCTAGTCGAGGATCCTTCAGAATAGCGCCTCCGTGAGTTGCCTTTCCCTATTATGTTCATTTTCTTTCGGGGGTAATGTATGTACTGTGTCTGACCCCTTACACTTTTACTGTTGCAGGCCTTCATAGGACTGTGTGAATATCTCCGGAGGGTCGATCATATGATGGAGGCTAGGGGTGCTGCTGAGGGGGAAGCTGCTAGCCTGAGAAAGAAGCTGGCTGATGCCGAGGAGTCTCTTCGCCTGGCCACCGAGAGCATGGAAGATCGAGTGCGGGTTACGAAGGCCGAAGGCAAGAATGAGGGCCTGGCTGAGGCCGGGGAAGCAGCCGCCGAAGCCGCTCGTGTTGCCGCCGAGGAGGTTGAGAGGGCAAAGGCCGAGGAGGTGGCCAAGGCTGGGAAAGCTGCCGTGGAGGCATTCATGACCGGGGGCTGGATGGCCGAGGACAAGGAAGACTGGGTGTCCTCGGTTGTGGAGAAGAAGGTAGATGCATGGGTCGGAGGTCCCGGCAAGATGTGGCTGGCGGAAAGGAGTGACTCTTACTACCAGTGCGGGGAGTTCTTTACTCAACGCCTCATTTACCGGAAGTTGGCCCAACACTTCAACGTGTCCCCGGTGGACTTCAAGCCGGAAGCCTATGGCCTTCCCCCTCGGTAGCCAGACATCAGGGTCCCCCTCCCTGAAGGCGAAGAGAGGCCAGTGCTAGAAGATTCTGAGACCCTGAGGGAGTGTGGTCTCGTTGGTGACGAAGATGATGCCGAGGGCGGTGCCACTTCCAAAGCAGCTGATGAAGGGACAACTCAATAATTTGTACTTTGTAGAGTTTTTGAACAATCTTTGTAAGAACATTCTGTAGCTTTCGGCTTCGGCCATTGTTTTAATTCAAACTCATTACTCATTACTCCCTCCTTTGTTGTGAATGAATGTTTTGTTCTCCTTTCTGAATGAATGATGCGCCTTCGGGCTTTTCTTTATCGGATTGTATTCCTTCGCTTCGTTTGCACGGTGCATCGATCGAGGGCCCAAAAATTTAGGACTTAGAAAAATTTTCCAAGGGTCTGTTCCGTGCTAGGCCTCCGGTCGTTGTTTCCTTTTTGATCTTTTGTAACATGTTCTGGGTTGACCGCGGGCCAAAAAACTAGGACATAGAAAATTTTCTAAGTGTTGTTTTTATCTCTTGGCCTTCGGTTGATCGACCCCTCTGGCTGTCCTGAATTGACCGAGGGACAAAAATTTAGGACTTAGAAAATATTTTCAATTTTTCCAAGTGTTGCTTACAAATTGGCCTTCGGTTATTAGACCCCTTAGATTGCATGATAATTTGACAAAGGGCCAAGCATTTGGGACTCAGAAATTTTTTCTAAGTGTTGATGTCACTTGGCCTTTGGTAAACGAGACCTTCTGGATTGTAGCATTTGTACGTAAGATCTCCCTCGGCAAAGGATGGTGATCCCGGGGGTACCCAGTTTTATGGACTTAGAATAATTTCATTTGACTTGTGAGTACTGGCCTCCGGTAATGTGTAATAGATACCTTCGCTCATTGGGTAGCATATAAGCCTTCGCATTAGGTAGGTCCCAAAGTGTGGACTTAGGAATTTTGCAGTCCAACCATAGTATGATAAAGACAGGTGCCCTCGGGTGACACTTTGGAGTATTCCCTCGGTGTTGCCTTGAAATGTCGGGGGGAATTGTTGCTTGGACTTAGGAATTTTAACCATTGTGTGGGTTTGGAGCCTTCGATGTCAGTTGATGCCGGGGGCAGCCAAATTGTGGACTTAGCCACATTTTGGTAACATTTGTTGAATAGTGGCCTTCGGGATGAGGGCCATTGCCAAGGGTGGCTCCTGGAATTAGTAGCTCTCGGATATCGGTGGTGTCCCCATGGGAGACCTCGGTATGTTCTTCTTGCATTGTAATGATAATCCTTGCTGGCTGTCGAAAGGTGCATATTTTTGGACTTTGTACTCATTGATTGGTCTTTGAGTCTACTCCCCTTCACCCTTTTTTTTTTGGGGGGGGGGGGGAGATGGTGAAGAGAAGGCTTCAAGAAACTTGGTTTTTGGTAAGGCTTGGCCTATTGGGAGGGAACAGTATACACCATTGGCTCCCCCCTCAGGTTAACCTTCCGGGTTCCGAGGGGATCGAGGGTCGTTTCCCCGGCACGAATCATAGTCCGTTTCCTGCCTCCCCTTGGGGGATGGCACGGAAAGCGCCTCAGTTTTGAAAGTCGTCCCGTCAGCACAAGACATAGTATGTTGCCTACCATTCCCCTGGGGTAATGGCGCGGGGAGCGTTTCGTTTTTGAAAGTCGAATTCTGAGGCATATTAGTTGCCTGCCATTCCCTTGAGGTAATGGTGCGGAAAGCGTTTCAGGAAGGGTTTTATTTTCATATTAGTTGCAAAAAGGCCGAGGTACTTGGTACCTCCGGCGCCGATAGGTGGGGCCTTCGGCATAAATGCGTCCTCGAGGGATACGACTTCAAAAATAACACTTGGTGTTTTATTTTTGCACACACCCTCGGTACTTGGTACCGAGGGGTCTTTGTTAAGAACACTTTGTGTTTTCTTCATTCTCGTGGGTGATGGAGTGTCTACCCTCGGTACTTTGTGTTGAAGGGTCTTGATTGTGCTAAGGCCTTGGGCCAAGTGCTTGTATGAGGGCTTGGCCGCTCAGAAGCGTTCTGTCCTTGTGCTTGGTGTTTTCAACATGTCTTCATTCTTCAAAAATTGGAGGCCTTGGGCCGTAGGATAATACATTCATTAGTTATGAGGGCTTGGCCGCTCCAACATTACAGATAAAATTTAACTAGGTGGTGTACATTCCAATGTCGGGGGACCTCAGTCCCGTTGGGGCGTTTGAGCTTGTAAGTTCCCTGTTTGATGACGGCTGCAATGATGTATGTACCCTCAAATTTGGGGTGCCATTTTACCGCCTTCGGTTGGTTAGCTAGCTTCCCTTCTTCGGAGAACATAGTCCCCCACTTGGAATTCTCTGGTGCGAACCTTGGCATCGAAGTAGCCTTTGACCTGCCTTCGGTAGTTTTCAGCCTTTAGGAAGGCTCGCTCTCGGCGTTCGGAGATGAGGTGAAGGTCGAGGGCCATGTTGGCATCGTTCAGCTCGGGATCATATTGATCTACCCTTCAGGTAGGTAGAGTTACATCCGTAGGGGCGTTCGCCTCGAATCCGTAACAGAGGGAGAAGGGTGTTTCGCCTGTTGCCCACCTAGGGGTAGTTCGGTAGGCCCAGAGAATGTTGTGGTGTTCTTCCACCCAGCCCCCCCCCTTCGGCTTTAAGCTTCTTTTTTAGTCCTTCAAGCAAAGTTTGGTTGGCGTTCTCCACCTGTCCGTTGCCTTGAGGGTAAGCAACCGAAGAGAATGTGTGTTTGATGCCCCATGCCTCTAGGAGAGCACAGAAGGGGGCTGCCTCAAACCGAGTCCCGTTGTCAGAGATGATTTGTTGGGGGACGCCAAACCTTGTGAGGATGTTCTTGAGGACAAAGTGGCAGCATCTAGCTTCGGTGATGCTGGCGAGGGGCTCAGCCTCCACCCATTTGGTGAAGTAGTCATTGGCAACGATGATGTACCTGTTGTTGGAGGTACCCCTCGGCAGAGGGCCCACAAGGTCTATGTCCCACCTAGAGAAGTGTATGGATGTGCTGATGGGGGCATAGTTGACCGCTGGCCTGCCGGGGGCCTTATAAAAGTGTTGACAGGAAACACACCTTCGGGCGAGATACGCACAATCTCGGGCCATCGTAGGCCAGAAGTATCCCTGGACTATGAGCCTTCAGGACATGGAGAAGGGTCCCTGGTGAGCTGAGCAAGTGCCAATGTGCACTTCTTCCATGGCAACCTCGGCCTCATCATGATGAAGGCACCGAAGGAGGGTACCGTTGTAAGATCTTTTGTAAAGCCTTCCATTCTCGAGGGTGTAGCTGGGAGCCCTCAGTTTTGCTAGTTTGGTGCGGGCTTCATCCTCGGGAAGTTGCCCTGTGGTGATGAAGGTGGTGATGTCAGAGATCCAGTCCTCCGGCCTGAGATGTATATCCATGATGGGGCTCGCATGTATGCTCGAGAGGCTGAGCTCTTTGATTCTTGCAATCTTGGAGAGGTGCTCCGGGGACTTGGCCGAAAGCTTTGATAAAATATCGGCCTCAGAATTTTGAGTCCTCGGTATTTGGGTGAGAGAATGTGCCTCAAATACCTTAAGCAATTCCTTAGCCGCCTCCTTGTATTGTTTCATCCTCCCTTCTTTGGCCTCATACTCTCCAGAGATCTGGCCCACGACAAGCTTGGAGTCACACTTGACGTGGAGCATTCTGGCCTTCAAATTTGCTGCCAGCCGAAGGCCACTGAGAAGGGTCTCATATTCAGCTTCGTTATTGAAGACTTTGAAGGAGAAGCGGATGACATAATAGGCGCGGAAACCTTCGGGTGTTATGAGAACTACTCCCCCTCCGCATGCCTTGGTGGCCGAGGAGCCGTCGGTATAGAGGGTCCACCACTCATCTAGAGGGGCCGAAGGCTCCTTACTCACCGCTGATCTCGCGGTGCATTCTGTGATGAAGTCTGCCAGGGCTTGGCCCTTGATGGCAGGCCTCGGACGGATGTACCGGCTGAGGAAGATAGCCCATTTTAACATTCTAGAGGAGCTGGTGGGGCTCCTCATGAGGGCGCCGAGGGGTTGATGTGTTAGCACTTGGACCGGATGAGCTTGAAAGTAATGGCCCAGCTTCTTGACAGTCCAAACAATGGCTAGGACCTTTTTTTTCACAGGGGAGTACCTGAGTTCTGCCTCCCTGAGGGTCTTGCTAACATAGAAGATGGCATGTTGGATGCCATCTTCCTCCCGGATGAGCACTGAGCTGATGGCTGCGGGGCTGACGCTAAGGTATAGATATAAGGTCTCTCCTACCTTGGGTTTGGAGAGCACAGGAGGAGAAGAGAGATACTATTTGAGCTCGTCGAAGGCCCCTTGACACTCAGTTGTCCATTGGAAGCCTGCTGTCTTCCTCATGATTTGGAAGAAGGGGAGGGCCTTCTCTGCTGATTTGGAGAGAAAACGGTTGAGGGCCGCCAGGCGACCTGTCAATCTCTGAACCTCCTTCACGTTGCGTGGGGGCTCCATGTTGATGATGGGTTGAATTTTTTCAGGGTTGGCCTCAATACCCCTTCAGCTAACCATGTAGCCAAGAAACTTCCCTCCTTGCACACTGAAGGTACACTTCTTTGGATTCAACCGAAGGTTGAATTTTTGCATGATGGCGAATATCTCCCGGAGGTCCTCGGCGTGGGTGCTTGATTTCTTGCTCTTGACGATCATATCGTCAACATAGGCCTCCATGGTGCATCCTAAGACTGCTTGAAAGACCCTGACCACCATGCGGGTGTAGGTGGCGCCTGAATTCTTGAGGCCGAAGGCCATTACAAGATAGCAAAAGATGCCTTTGGGTGTCATGAAGGCTGTTTTTTCGGCATCCTCTTCATGACGACCTCCTTCTTGACAAAGTCCCTTCTCTTGGCGGAGAGGGGCCTTTTTCTCTGTTGCACTGGTTTTGCCGAAGGGTCTACCGCTAGGCGGTGAGTGATGACCCTTCGGTGGATCCCCGACATGTCCTCTGGCCCCCATGCAAAAACAACGGAGTAGGCGCGGAGGACTTCAGTTATGCTGGTCTTCAGGTCTTCGGGGAGTTTGGCTGCAATCTTCAAGACTCTCTCCGGCTTGGCCGGATCGAGCACAAAGTCTTCGGTGTCTTCGGCAGGCTCAGCCCTCGGCCTGCCTTCCTCCTCATCCAAGGCGACGGTAATTGTGTCAATGCGAAGCTCAGTTTTACTAACCTTCTTGGTGAGTTGAAGGTAGCAAGCCTGGGAGAGCTTTTGATTCCCCATGGAGTAGCCGATGC